TGAGGCAAACCCACTCACTGCCTTCGAGTTAATTCTGACTCATAGTGACCCTATAGGACACAGTAGAATTACCTCAAAGGGTTTCCAAGGCTGTAAATCTTCACGGAAGCAGACTGCCTCATCTTTCTCCCACAGAACTGTTGGTGGGTTCTAACGGCCGACCTTTTGGTTAGCAGCCAAATGCTTTCACTGCTACACCACCAAGAGCCTCTTTCTCACCCTTGGAATACCCTTTATATTCATTCTAGCAACCAAATGACAACATTTGTACAGTCATTGTCATCTCCATATTTGCAGCACAAAGTGTTGTAAACAATTATGTCATAGAACCTCAGATTATCAGAGACAGAAGGAGACTTTGGTGCTCTTTAGCTCAGACCATTTATTTTAAAACTTAGGGGTCAGGGGTGCAGCTAGAGAAAGTCTAAAGTCATTCATTCTCTCAATTAACATTTGTAGAGTGCTTTCTGTATGTTAGATACTGTTGAAGACCCTAGGACTGCCACAATGAACAGAGGGAGTGAACTTCTTACTCCGCTAAAGCTTACATGCAAAAGGGGAGACAAAGACCAAGTCAATAAATAGCTAAGCATTCTCCCTCCCAGTTGTGATAACTGCTTCAAGGAAAATAAAATGGGTGGTGCTATAGAATGGGTTGGAAAAGATGGCAGGGTGAGGCTACTTTAGAGAGTTATGGTGGTCAGGGAGGCTTTCCTGCAGAGGGATGACTGAGCTGAAAGCTGAAGCATGAGAAGGAGCCAGGAATGTTAGAGTATTCCAAGCGGGGAGTACATAGAAAAGGACAAGAAGTAGGAATGGGCTTCGCGGATGTGAGGAACAGAAAGACCAAAGTATCTGGAGCAGTTAGACAGGTGGGCAGGGGCCAGACCAGGCAAGGCTTTGGAGGCCACTAGAAGGAGTCTGCATTTTATTCCAAGTTCAATACCATATAGCTTCTCATATTTGGATTTCCCAGTTCTCCTTTTCAAACATTCACAAGCTCCATTGTGTCCCATAATGAAATCTACTACTTACTGAATAATAATGGTATACTAGATCCAGTGCCAGACAACTTATATATATCATTAATCATCATATCAGCCCCAATGCATAGAACTGTCACCTTCCCAGTTGTGTAGGTAATTCATTTGCTGGTAGGGAATACAGTCACTCTATTCATTTACTCATTGGTTGATTCATTCATTCATTCATATTTACTGAACACTGGCTCTCTGCCAGGCATTGGATTTTCCAAAACCAGTAAGATGAATTTGCCCCCACTGGATTCTCAAAGTATAATGGAGGCATCAGGTAAAGCATGTACCCACATTTCAAACAGTAATGTGAAGTAATCACTCACAAGATGGAGGCTAAAGATACCCTGGGGAACCAAGGAAAGAGGGACTAGTTCTATGAGTGATCAGACTTAGGAAATGGCTCAGGGGTCAACAGTATGTTGTCAGTAGTTGAAACTTCTCTGGGCCTAAAATCAGCATTGGACCAGGTCTTCCTTAAAGTTTCTTTCTTTTCTAGCATGCTGGATCCCAGGACTCATAGGAAGGGATGAAGTGCAGGGGCAAACAATACAAGTGAGAGCACCTGGATATGACAGTCCTCTCAGGTTCAGTTGTCAGAAATGGGGCTTGCTAGAAAAGGCTCATCATTGATTAACTCACTTAATAAACTGTAATGAGCATCCAGTCTGTTCCCGGCATTGGACAAGGTGCCAAGGACCAGTGGTGAGCAAGACAGACAGGGTCAGACCCTGTGGAGCTTTCCTGCTAGGAGAAAGTGTAAAGGATACACAACAATTAAATATTGACTGGCAAGCAGAGTTGCCAGATTTAGCGAGGAAAAATATAGGATGCCCAGTTAGATTTGCATTTCAGATAAACAATGAATAATTTAAAAATATAAGTATGTCCCAAATATTGCAGGGAACATACTTATACTAAAAAAAAAATAAGTGTCATTTATCTAAAACTAAAATTTAACTGGCATCATGGATTTTATCTGGCAACATTATTGGATCTTCCCCAAAGAGGTCTGAAGGATGAAAAGAATTTTCTAAGAGGGGGGAATTATATTATAATCCTGGAAAACTTCTCCTTTCATGGTTTCACATTCTAAAAATGCTGTGATTGTAACCATTTCCTATATATATTTTTTTTTCTTTTTTTTTTTTTTTTTTTTTTTTGAGCACACTGAAGGCTAAAAGTATCACTTGTGCATGGGTCAGGGACCCAGATCCAGTCTGTGTATCTTCCTCCTCCTTCTCCCGACCCTCAAACAATGGTTGGCGGAAAAGACTGCATCCTGCCCAGAGTTCCGAGTGGAGTAAGATTTCTCCAGAGGAACAATGAGAGAAGCAAACACATGTGCACACGCACACACATTCCAATGAAGCACAAGATACTCTTCTGAAATGAACTTTGAGGGTTCAACAGGACATAGCAAGTGGCCACTTGGCCCAAGGCCTTGGCACATTCTTAAAACAAATATTTTAGAACAAGACAATCTTTCCAAATCCTCAATTAACATCAGAGTCCACAGATGCTCTCAGCCTCTCTGGTCTGTTTCTGCATGAATAGAATCTATACCCAGAATTCCAGGAAGACAAGACTGGATTCTTCTCCAGATTCCACATGGATCTGATACAGCATCCATCACTTAGAATAAATAGATCCTTTACAACAACAACAAAATAGTAATGACAATAACAAACAAGAAGAGCTACCGTTACAAGAAGAGCTATTACAAAGTGCCAGAAATTGTGCTAAATGAGAAATAATTCTCTCATTTGCTCCTTACAACAAGGCTATAAAAATAGACACTATCACCCTGATTTTTCAAACTATAAAATGAGCCCAAACCAGCAAAGTGATTTGCCAAGGCCATATTCTTAGAAAGTGACAGAGTCATAATTCACACTCAGATCTGTCTCAAAGTACATCATGTCGCAACACCTCATCCAATGCCAAAGGATCCCTGGTGGTACAATGGTTAAATGCTTGGCTGTTAACTGAACCGTTGGCATTTCAAACCCACTAACGGCTCCATTCAGACCCACCAGCCACCCCTCGGAAGGAAGGTTGGGCAATCTACTTCCATAATGATACCATCTTGGAAAGTCAAGGAGGGGTTGCTATGAGTCGGGGCCAACTCGACGGCACATAACAACAATAACAATGGCTCCGTGGGAGAAAAGATCTAGCTATTTGTTCCCGTGAAGATTACAGCCTACGGAACCCTATAGGGTAGTTCTACTCTGTCATGTAGGATTGCTATGAATCAGAATAGACTTGACAGCACACAGTAATAGTCCAATGCCAAGGAGCTCTGGTGACACCACAGTTAAGCACCCAGCTGTTAACTCAAAATGTGGTCGGTCTGAACCCACCCAGCAGCTCTACAGGAGAAAGACTTGTACCTCTGCTCCTGTAAAGATTACAGCCTAGAAAGCCCTATGGAGCAGTTCTACTCTGTCACATGGGGTCACTATGAGTCAGAATTGACTCAATTACACCTAACAACAGTCCAATGCCCTCAATTTATAGATGAGGAGGAAGGATAGAGTAGTGGAATGGTTAAGACCATGACAAAGCCCAAGTGCCTGGATACTAATCTGTGCTCTTCTGCTTTCTATCTGTGTGACCCTGAGCAAGTTATTTGCCCTTTCTGGGTTTCAGTTTCATTATCTATAAAACAAGGATAAGTTATTGTGTCATAAGGTTGCTGTGAAAAGGAAATGAACAAGACAATCCTTTTAGATACAATTAAAATCTAGAGAGAGTTGAGTGGAGAATGATTCCAATCCACTTGGATGAGTCCTAAGTCATGGGCCTCCGGATGCCCAAGATGGAGATGAGGGGAGAAAGCTACCTCTTGGGAGATACAACTGAGTGTATCTCAAAGAACACAATTTCCCGCAGAGACTGAGTCTGTGCTTCTTATCTGGCCCCAAGGAAGCCAAGTCAAGAAGACAACCCATTTAAATTTCTGCATTAGTGAATGTCAAGTCCAGGTTCTGCTCCTCTTTGGTGACCTTGGTCAAGTCCCATCTCTTTGCCTGACGTCAGTCTCCTCATCCATAAAATGAGGCAGTTGGACAGGAACTCCCTCCCTCTCCACTTTCTAGGAAGCTTCATCTGAAATAAGGGTTAATGACGGCTCAGTGGTAGAATTCTCACATTCCTCATGGGAGACCTAGATTCGATTCTCGGCCAATGCATTTCATGCACAGCCACTACCCGTCTGTCGGTGGGAACTTGCTTGTTGTTGTGATACTGAGCAGGTTTCAGCAGAGCTTCCAGACTAAGACAGACTAGGAAAAAAGGTCTGGCCATCTATTTCTGAAAATCAGTCCATGAAAACCCTATGAATCACAAAAATCTGATTTCATTATGCCTTGAGGGGCTGACTTGACGATAACAAGAACAATGTGAAATAAGTAAAACCAAACGGAAAACCAAACTCACTGCCATCGAGTTGATTCCGACTCATAGCGACCCTCTTTGGGTTTCCAAGGCAGTAAATCTTTATGGATGTAGATTGCCCAACCTTCCTTCTGAGGAGTGGCTGGTGGGTTTGAACCGCCAGCCTTCTGGTTAGCAGTCAAATGCCTTAGGCATTATGCTAACAAAGCTCCTTGAAATAAATAAAGTGGGCACAAAAATCACAAAATATATGGGCTGAACCCTGGAAATGTCTAAACCCAGCCTCTTCGTATGGCCATTATAACAGTAAATGAGATCAACACTTGCCATTATGGGGCAAACATTCTTTCATGTGAGACTGGCATTAAAAAAATTTAAATGCCTAAGCCACCTGACTGCTAACCCACCAGCCACTCATCAGAAGGAAGGTTGGGCAATCTACTTCCATAATAATACCACCTTGGAAACCCAAGGAGGGGTCGCTATGAGTAGGATCCAACTCCAAGGCAAGAGTTGCATTTGCATTTGCCCTTGTAGACTGTCCTCCAATGGGAAAGAAAATACCTGTCCTGTGTCGGGAACGTTGGCAATCTTTTTGGAGTGTGCGACGTGGCCCACCACACCCATGTCCAGAGGGAAGACAATCTCTGAGTCAGGCACCACCAGGCAGTCCTCCAGAACTGCATCCTTGTGGACGTTGAAGAGCCGGGTGGCTAGCTCTGCGATGCCATTGCGGGTCCGGTACATGAACAGGCTCATGCGGTCTGCCGGTAGGAGGAAGCACAGCTTCTTCATGACATTGAAGATGCATTTCTCAGTCTGTAAATTCTCCTGAAAATCCCGTAGGAGGTCGAAGATGATTTCACTCTCCTCCACGCTGGTCAGTGAGTGATAGGTGCTGAAGTCCACAGCTGCCTCCTTGGCCCCAAGGAGGTCCGAGATGACTTTGGCCCGGTAGTGAAGGTTGTAATACTGTTTGGCAAAGCCAACATTTGAGTCCAGGAACTTCTCCACCTCCTCTTCTGTCACTTCTCCCATGGTTAGGAATTAAATCGGCTATGTCTGTGGAGGAGCTAAGGATGGTAGTTCTGTAGTCTGCACCAAATCCAGTCAGAATGTGTTCCACTCTGATCTGGATCTCTCTGGGTCTTTGAAAACCTCACTGAGATGGCCACATAAAGGAGGGAATGAGCTTGGAGGATTAAGTCATTAATATTTCCCAAGAACAAGGATTATCAGGATCAGTGTGTTCCACATGCTGCTGGCCCCAGATGGGACATGATGAGAGCTCTCTTTCACCTTGGTTTATTAGCAGCTGAGAAGGAATTTTTGCACAGAGCAGGAGGTGGGCTATACACCACAAAATAAAGTGAAGTCAGAACAGTAGCCCATAAACAATCATCAACCCATACATGTGTTTTCTCTGCTCTGCATGGTATTTTTCTTAAACATTTGACATAGAAGGCTAATGTTTAATATTTAGGAGATTTTTTAGCTTCTCTTGGAGGGTCAGATTTAACAAGTCCATGTCAACATTCCTCCATGGTAGGAATGGCTGCAGCTGGGAGGTGACTGCCTACCCCCTTCCTGCAACTCAAATCGATTTGCACATTCATCACTCAACCTATTTCTCTCGTTTACACACCATGGACCAAGATTTCACAATCGCATTAAAGTCTTCCTCAGCTTTAGATTTCAATGATGCTCTAATTTTAGATTCTAAGAGCCCACAAAAAACAGTACTCCTTTCACCGTTTTCTTTTATTACAAAAGCAGTGCGGGTCTACTATAGAACATATACAAAAACAACAGTTAAAACCACCCCATAACTCTATCTTAGTTATTTAGTGCTGCTATAACAGAAATACCACAAGTAGATGGCTTAAATAAACAGAAATTTGTTATCTCACAGTTTAGAAGGCTAGAAATCCATATTCAGGAAGCCAGCTCTATGGGAAGGCTTTCTGTCTTTCCTGGGTCTGGGAGAAGGTCCTGCTCTCTTTCAGTATTTATGGGTCCAGTGTCCCTGGGAGATCTGCATGTGTCTTGCCATCTAATTATTATTATTATTATTATTATTATTATTGTGATTTGGGTGAAAGTTTACAGAGCAAATTAATTTTCCATTCAACAATTTATACTTTTTTTTGTTTTGTTTTGTGACATTAGTTGAATCCCCTCAATGTAATAGCACTCTTTCTACTTCCTCCCTGGGTTCTCCGATTCCATTCATCTTTCTTTCCTGCCTCTTCCTGACTCCTGACCTTTCTTTTTGGGTAAATACTTCTTGTTTGTTTCCAGATGATTGATTGTTCTGATGGTTACGTTTCTCACAGGTATTATTGTTCACTTGATATGTCAATCTATTGTTTGGCTGAAAGGTGATCCCCAGAGTTGGGTTCAGTTCCAGGTTTGAAGGGTGTCCAAGGGCCATAGTCTTGGAAGTTGACATCAGTCTTTCCCTGGGTCTATGAAATTCTCAGTGCAGGGATCCCAGGTCCAAAGGATACACTCTGTTCCCGCTTTTCTTTCTTAGTGGTAGTAGTACCTTCCTTCTCTGCTCACATCTCTCTCATTTTATCTCTTGTAAGATAAAAAGGAGTTCCAGGCCACAGCCCAAGGACACTTCTCTTACATTAGATCAAGGCTGTGAACTGTGTAAGGGTATTGCATCCCACCCTAATCCCCCTTACAGCTGATTGACTAATCACTTCAGATCACATCATGAAGAATGATTACATCTTACATAACTGCCAAATTACATCATCACTTAATTGCCAAACCACTGAGAATCATGCTCCAACCAAGTTGATACATATTTTGGGGGAACACAATTCAATCCATGACACACTACTACTAAGAGTAACCTTTAGTTAACATTTTAGTTTCTGTCCTTTCCCTAGATGCTAAAGATCTACTTCTCTACCACCTTTTGATCTTTATCTTGAGCCTTTCATGAGCTCTCCCTGGCTCCAGCCTGGGCTTTTCAGGATTAACTGATCACAAATGCACACAATAGTCTAGATGCTATAAGTGCCGGTGAATTTTGAAATACCACAATCCTCCTTGAGGCACCCCTCCAGCACACTAGGGGAAGGTGGGAAAGAGTGCTTTCCTTTCTCCCCATGGAGCTGACTTAGCTTCCATAAATATATCCACTAGAGCCAGAGATCTCTACATGATAAACATGGTACAATGCATGATTATAGACTTGGTGAACTTACTTTATTGGAAAGTAGATTACTACTTCCTTTATTGTAGAGTGTAATAAATTCTTGGGGCTACTGTACTCAGTCAGCACTGGTTATGAGAGTGGGCCATTTGGTCTGGTGGCCCATGCAAACCAAACAAAATCCCAAACCACTGCCATTAAGTTGATTCCAACTCATAGCAACCCTCATTGGGTTTCCAAAGCTGTATATCTTTATGAAAGCAGACAACCCATGTTGTTGTTGTTGTTGTTAAGTGCCATTGAGTCGTTTCCGACTCATAGTGACCCCATGCACAGCAGAACAAAACACTGCCCAATCCCGCACCAGCCCCACAATCCCTGCTATACTTGAGCCCATCAACGCAGCCACCGTGTCAATCCATCTCGTTGAAAGCCTCCCCCTCTTTTGTTGACCCTCCACCCTACCAAGCATTGACATCCTTCTCCAGGGAATGGTCCCTTCTGACAACATGACCAAAATAGGTGAGACAAAGTCTGGCCATTCTTTCTTCCAAGGAGCATTTCGGGTGCACTTCCTCCAGGACAGATCTGTTAGTTCTTTTAGCAGTCCATGGTACTTTCAGCATTCTTCGCCAGCACCACAACTCAAAAGCATCAACTCTTCTTCGGTCTTCCTTATTCATTGTCCAGCTCTCACATGCATACGAGGCGATTGGAAATATCATGGCTCGTGTCAGGCGCACCTTAGTCCTCAAGGAGATATCCTTGCTCCTCAGCACTTGAAACAGTTCCTTCGCAGTTGACTTTCCCAATGCTACACGTTGTCTAATGTCCTGACTGCTGCTTCCGTTGGCATCAATTGTAGAACCAAGCAACGTGAATTCTTTGACAACCTCAATCTTCTCTCTATTTATTGTGATGCTGCTCCTTGGTCCAGTTGTGAGGATTTTTGTTTTCTTTATATTGAGACGTAATCCATACTGCATACTGTATTCTTCAACCTTCATCAGTAGGTACCTTAAGTCATCCTCACTTTCAGCAAGCAAAGTTGTATCGTCTGAATATCTCAGGTTGTTAATGATTCTTCCTCCAATCCTGATACCACGTTTTTCTTGACAAAAGAGCAGTCAGCCCCAGGGTTACAGGTGAGGAGAGACAACTCAGGGATGCCCAAAGTAGCAGGCAGGAAGAGCAGGAGAAAGGGGATTAAAAGCCAGGAAGCCAGAGAGAAAAGCAATCAGCCAAAGGGATTAGGGAGGAGAGGAAACTCAGGCCTGCCCAGAGTAACAGTCCAGAAGAGCAGGAGGAAGGGCATAAAAGCCAGGAACCCGGACAGCGGAGCAGTCAGCCCCAGGGACAACTCAGAGACGCCCAAAGCAGCAAGCCAGAAGAGCCGGAGAAAAGGGATTAAAAGCCAGGAAGCCAGACAGAGGTACAGTCAGCCACAGGGACCCAGGTGGGGGTGATACGAGAGGTCTCCAACAGCAAGACAAACTTGTCTGTCGGTTTGTCCTACTGTGGTGACATGTAGACGTGAGTTTTGAGGCTGAGCTTCTGGTGTTTAAAACCCAGCGAGATGCACCTAGTGCACAGGTAATAGCCCAGCTTATAGACTGAGACAGACTAGGAAGAAGGAAGAGGCCATCCACTTCTCAAAGAATTGGCCAGGGAAAACCTTATGAATAGCAAAGACAACCCATGTAGTAGACTTGAATTTCTCAAAATGCTCCCACCATACCTAATATAAGCCTAACTCCCTCTGTCTAGAATGCCTTCCCCAGCTCTTTGCATGCTGGCTCCTTTTCAACATTCAGGTCTCAGCTCACACTAGTCATCCAAGATATCTTATCCCAAGTAGCCACAACCACCACCTCTCCAGTTCCTGCCTGTCATGTCATCCTATCGATTTCCTTTATTACATTACTATCAGCCATTAGTTTGTTTTTTGTTTCCTTGTGTATTGCATGGCTTACCCAGTATACTGTGAACTCCATGAGGGTAGGAATCTGTCAGGACTGATTACTTAGTGCCTTACAATGACATCTGACACATTCTTGGTGCTCAGTAGTGTTTTTAAAATTATAAACCCCATATGCACTTAGGGAGCTCTGGTAGCGTAGTGGCTAAGGCACTTGACTGCTAACCAGAAAGCTGGCGGTTGAAACCCACCAGCCACTCCTTGGAAGGAAGATGGGGCAATCTGCTTCCATAGTGATACTGCCTCAGAAACCCAAGGAGGGGTGGCTATGAGTCAAGTCTGACTCGGTGGCACATAACACCAACAACAACATATGCACTTGTTTAAAATTTAGACAATACTAGAAGGCAAAGGAGACAATTCAAATCAAACATAACCCAGATGTTACCTTTGATAATATTTTTGTATATTTTACATTTTTTATGGAGATTGTATCTATTTCCAAATATGAGACCATATTGTAACCCACTCTTTCCACCTTACAAAGTATCATGAACATCCTTCAAAGCTATCTCTGGTTAATATTTATTGACTGAAGAGCTTTCCAAGGAGCTCTGGTGGTATAGTACCTAAGGTATTTGACTATTAACCAGAAGGTTGGTGGTTCAAACACACCAGCTGCTCTGCAAGAGGATGAGACAATCTACTTCTGTAATGATTTACCACCTTGGAAACCCAATAAAGGGTTGCTATGAGTCGGAATTGACTTGATGGCAGTGAGTTCGGTTTTTGAAAAGAACTTTCCACAAGAAGCTCTGGTGGTGTAGTGCCCAAGGCATTTGACTACTAACCAGAAGGTTGGTGGTTCAAACCCACCAGCTGCTCTGTGGAAGAAAGATGGGGCAATCTACTTCCATAAAGATTTATTGTCTTAGAAACCCTATGAGGGTTGCTGTGAGTTGGAATTGACTTGATGGCAGTGAGTTTTTGAGTTTTGTAAAGAGCTTTCCACTGTGTGGAGG